TGGAAATAAATTTAGAAACATTATTAAGTATAACTTGGTAATTCTTGCAGAGTAGGGAGGTATCATTTCTCTTGTTTATACTGTTTCTATCCGAAGTAATGAAACAAGATTCTGCAAAGCGTCACTGAATTGGGTTTTGTTCGTGATAGAAAATACGGGCATCATAAAAGTTAAATGTGTGTTTGAAATTTTTGATATGATCGGTAATCATGGTTTGGTTTTTAAAATTATCGTCATGTTGTTTAAGTCTTTTTATCCGATTTTATCCAGTTTCACCCACATAAGTCGAAAAGCAATTATTGCAATTTATTTTGTAGGCAATTTTGGACGTTCTAAGCTAGTGGGCGATTTGAGATTTAAATAAAGAGAAATGAGAGTTAAATCCATTTTGCAAGTTAACCTGATGTCTACCTTATGAAAAAGTTTCTTCCACACTGGGAAAAGTTCTTTTATATATGGTAGACAAACGTTACCAATAAAATTATTGTCTTTAGGAATTTTTATTAAAAAAAAAAGAAAAATTCGCACTATTGAGAGTTTTGAGTCTATTGGTGGTGACGGGGTTAATGAGATGCGGATGATATGAATTGTTGATTAAAGTCGTGCAAATGAGGAATAAATTGGAAGGCCAATATGTGTATCTGAGAGTAGGATGACATGGTCGACTAAATTAATAATAGAACCTATCTTTATGCTAAAGTGGTGGTAAGAATGGTAGTTTAAATACCTACCCGACCAAGTAGGTTTTTGGAACCAATTAGTGATAATTCGATTGTCTATGGTTTTTATAATTCTTACATCTAAAAAGCAATAGAATTGTCATGTTCTTTTTCAAATGTAAAGGAAAGGAGCTCGTTAAACGAGTTGAAGCTATGAGGTAAAAGTTCAAAATTTTTAACAGGAACACATGTAAGAATGTCATCAACGTATTTGTAATAAAAATGAAGATCTGAAATGTAGGAGTTAAATACTTTCAACTCTAGGTATTGTAAAGCAATTTCTGCGAGTGCTAGAGATATAGGGGAGCCCATAGGTGTGCCAAAGATTTGAAGGTAAAAATGGCCGTTGAATTTAAAATAGGTATTAGAAACTATGAATTTCATTGACTCAAAAAACCAATGCAGTGATAACGTTGTATGACATGAGATTTCGTCCCATCTAGCAGTGATATTATCTAAAATTAATTGTAAGGGAACGTTAGAAAATAAGGATACTAAGTCTAGACCAACTAATAAGAAATTATCAAGAATAACGGAATCGCGGAGATTGTTGACAAGTTTTAAGTTCAAAGGAGTTTTTTGTAAAAAAACGAGGCTTGACAGTGACTGAGGAGAGTATATGGCTTAGATATTTGAAGAATTCAGGTCAGCAACGATAAGCCTGAGAGGAATGTTATGTTTATGTATTTTGGGAAGTCCGTAGAGTTTGGGATTGTAAGGATGAAGGTTTTGAATTGTCAGTGAGATTTAAGGGGTGTTTGTTGAAATCTAAGTTGTTCATAAATTCATGAAAAGTACAGTTAATTCGATCGGTCGGATCAGAGTTAATGGGGGATTATATTTTTTTGTCTAAAATTAATTCAGAGACCTTTTCTAGATATGTAGTTTTATCTACATTAACTGTAATGTTTCCATTGTCGGCCCTTGCAATTAAAATGTTTCATTTAAACTTTTCATTAAAGAAAATCCTAACATTTTAATTAACCATGGATTAATAATGTTTTCATATGTTATATCAAGATACAAAATTGTAAGTGTTTTATTATTATTATTATTATTATTATTATTATTTTTCTATGATATTTCTTACATATCATTTATCTAGTTTTATTAACTTCCCGTAGAGTAAGTTATAGTAGTCGCAAAAAATTGAAAAGATTTTTTTTTATATATCTATGGCGTCCCTTAACATCTAGACATAATAAAAAGAAAACAAAAGTGTTCGTAGTAAACATAATCATCTTTTGTTATATACGCCAATGAATATTGTTTGATTTCAAAAGTTTAAATTTTCGTATTTTCCGATCGAATTAAATCTTCATCAAAGATAAATCGTGTTTTAATCATTTACAAAATAAATATATAGTTCGTAAAACTATATAATTGGTGACTCCGAACGCGAATAAAAAAACACCCCGATCCAAATAATACAAAAATCAGTGATGGCCACAACAAGCAAGCATCAAGATAACAAAACAGATTACACACAAGATATTTTAATGGCATTAGTGCAAAGAATGAACGTACTTACTTCAGAGGTTGAAAGTTTGAAGCACAGTCAAAGAGACAACAACAAGAGCAGGAGGCCCAGAAGCTACTCAAGGAATAGGCGAGGTAGGTCAAAAACACCTACCAAATCACATGTATGCTATTACCACAATAAATTTGGAGAAAAGGCCAAGAAGTGCATAGAACCGTGCTTTCTTAAATTACAGCTGAATCCGGAAAACTATCATCGCCATCAACATTAGGAGTTGCATGCAATGATGGTGATACAAATTATGTCTGTTCAGAGCTCCGATCAAATATAACAGACAGAAAATCCAGAATACGATTCCTTATTGACTCTGGCTCTGTTCTCTCGATACTTCCAGCTAGCAAGTTTGCAACCGGTCGTGCCAAGGAAGAGCTTGTTCTATATGCAGCCAATTCCAGTCAAATATTCACCTATGGAAAGCAGACTTTCGAGCTGGACCTTTCACTGCGTAGGCCCTTCATTTGGTAATTCACTATAGCAGACGTGGCAACAACCATAATCGGTGCAGACTTGCTAAGCCACTACAATTTGCTCATAGATCTGAAAGGCAAGAGATTGATTGATTTCTCTACAGGCTTAACCTCTGATGGGAAAGCTGATAATATTAACATCTCCACAATGGATTCCAGGAACCGTTCAAGGATCTACTAACAAAATATGTATCTCTCAGTAATGAACCACACAACTTAACTATTGAACAGTCTCCTTCTGCGCACAGAATCTCTACAACAGGTCTATCAATTGCTGCCAGGTTCAAGAAGAATTTCGGTAAAAAAGCTATAGCAGCAAAAGCCGAAATTTTAAGACAATCAAGCAGTCCGTGGGTAAGCCCTATTCATATGATACCAAAGAAAAATGGAATATATAGACTTTGCGGTGACTACAGGAAACTGAATGCGAGCACATTACCTGATAAGTATCCTCCACCATTTATTCATGATGTTTTTCCAGCATTACATAGGAAAAAAATATTCTTTACATTGAACCTCGCCAAAGCTTATCATTAAGTTCCGATGCATGAAGAGGACATTCAGAAGACAGCCATTAAAAACCCATGGGGATTGTTTGAGCATCTTTGTATGCCGTTTGGATTGAAGAATGCCACTCAAACTTTCCAGCAATACATAAATCACATTTTTCAAGATATTGACTTTGTGTTCATACACGTGGATGACATCCTGGTTATGTCTGAGAGTATGGAAGAACATCATCGTCACCTTGAAATTGTGTTTGAGCGACTTCAAGAACACTCACTTGTCATCAACATTGAGAAATGCGTCATGGGCAAGAATGAAGTAAATTTTCTGGGATACAAGCTTAGTGCAAATGGCTATTCTCCATCAACACACCCAGTGGACAAAATTTTAAACTTTTCACAACCAACCACAGTACTGGAACTACGTAGGTTTCTAGAAATGGTGAATTACTACAGGAAGTCAGTACCAAAGGCAGCAAGAATACAATCACCCTTAAACAATTATCTACGAAGTTCAGTGAAGAAGGACAAAACTCGAATTGTCTGCAACCCAGAATCTCTCAAGGATTTTGATGACATTAAGAAAGCACTTGCAAATGCAGTACTATTTCGATATCCAGATGCTTCAACCAACACTTGCTTGGTGACGGATGCCTTTACAACGGCTATTGGTGCTACTCTGGAGCAGGAAGAAAATGGTGCCTGGCAACCCATCGGTTTCTACTACAGAAAACTAACAACAACAGAACATAAGTATTCAACATATGATCGCGAGCTACTTGGCATATTTGCTGCAATAAAGCATTTTAAATATCTTCTGGATCAAGACTGATCACAAGCCAATCACATATGCATTTCAGCAAAAACTTGAAAAGGCTTCAGATAGACAGAGACGACAATTAGAATATATTTCCCAGTTTTCCACTGAAATTGTATATGTGAAACGTAATAAAAACATTGTAGCAGACACCTTCTCAAGAATAAATACAATAGAAATGCCAACAAAACTGTCAGCTGAGGAAATAAGCATCGAGCAGAGTTTGGACCCAGAATTGAAAATATTACTTGATGGAGAAAAATCATTGAGACTCCACAAATTGACATTGGATGGTTTTTCAATATATTGTAATATCGAATCTAGTTTTGTTAAACCTTGTTTTCCACAGAAACTCCGCAAAACCGCATTTCACGTAATACATGATATATCTCATGCAAGCATCAGGACTACATCCAGAGTAATCTGCAAACTATATGTATGACCTGGAATTGGAAAGGATATTACTACTTGGACTTGCCAATGCATCTCCTGTCAAAAGTCGAAAGTCCACAAACACAACCGCTTCAATCCTATGCACATTCCTGCACCAGATGAAAGACTTTCTTACATCCATATTGATATCATTCACTTACCAAATACTAATGGTTTCTCATATTGTTCAACAATTATAGACAGATTTACAAAATGGCCATAAGCTATAGCACTCAGAGATATCACAGATGATACAATCACACAAGCGTTATTTTTGTGCTGGATTTCAAGATTTGGGATTCAAACAACAATAACTTCTTACCAAGGCACACAATTTGAGTCTGCTCTATTCAAGTCTTTGGCTCAGGCAGTTGGAGCGAAGAAGACACGTACAACAACTTACCACCCTCAGGCTAAAGGCTGATGTGTTCCACTGAACCGTGGATCAAGATACTACTTTACGTGCTACTTGGTCTACAAAACTCATTTAAAAAAGACATAAAAGCATCACCAGCAGAAATGGTTCATGAAACTACGTTGAGACTTCCAGGTGATTTTATCAATGTATCTAATAACTCAACAAATCCATATTTATTTTTAGATAATCATCACCGAATCATGTGTGCATTAAAACCAACACCTACTGCTCATCACAACAAGGGCAAAATGTTTATTTTGAAAGATATGGACACATGCACACATGTATACCCCAGAGCAGATCATGTCCGGAAGCCTTTAGAACCACCTCACAGTGGGCCTTATGAAATTCTAGAGCGAGTCACTGACCGGATTTACAAACTCCGCATAAATGAGACTGAAAAGAACTTCGCTGTAAAAAGATTAAAACCCGCTTACAATAACAAATCAGATACTGATTGCAAATCAGATTCGAATTCACATCACAGACCATCAGCCACGAAACCAACTAAGAAGACTCCAAAAAAGAAAGTTACGTTTAACATATGACGTAAAATTGACTTTTCTTTTGACAAATAGCCGTCCATTTTTATTTTGGGGGAACTACTATGGCGTCTAGATATAAAAAAAAGAAAACAAAAGTGATTGTAGTAAACATAATCATCTTTTGTTATATACGTCAATGAATATTGTTTAATCTCAGAAGTTTAAATGTTCGTATTTTCCGATCGAATTAAATCTTCGTCAAAGATAAATCGTGTTTTAATCATTTACATAATAAATATATAATTTGTAAAACTATATATCTTTACGTTTCAAAGGTTTCTGAATATTTTGGCATACCTTAGAAAAAATTAATGTATGTGTGTGTGTGTGTGCGTATACAAATTTTTGTCGACGATTTCGGGAACACCGATCGACCAAATTAAATAATTCAAAAAACATTCGAATTGTACTGATAAAAAGACGTGCTGATTAGTTTTTGGCGAAAACAGGTCTAGCCGTTCCGAAGATACGGGGCAAAAAGTGCTTAAAAACGGTAACACAGATTTTAAGAGAACGGAGCGTCCGATTTAAAAAATTCAAAAAGCATTTTACTCGTATTGATAAGATGAATAAATGATTAAATTTTTGGGAGGGCAGGCCTAGCGGTTATAGACTCTCTATAAAAATAAGTTGATAAAATGCTATTTGGCGGTCAAAAATGTTCACTAGACATATGCACATCAAATTATCAGATATTTTATAGAGATTTTAATAATGTGTACACATTTTGGGTAAATTTTTTTGAGTTCCGTACCAAGATTTTCAGATTTGAAGTTTATGTATATGATTCAAACAAATGGCCTCGACATTTTCGACAGTATGGAATAACCGATTTGTATTATTGAACATTCGGTACTCGATCGCCAGGCGTTTATGCAAAAAGCACATCCTGCCGTTACGCAGGTATGGAACGCAAATGGTGTAAAAATGGAATTTGAGTTTGAGGCAATGCAGTTTTTGAGAGAACGGATCATCCGACAAGATTAATTCAAAAAACCTTTTGCTTGTGTGCAAAAAATAAAAAAATGTAAATTTTGCAGAAAACTCAAATTTTTGAAATTTAAACATTTTTGAACTTTTTCATCATTTTGAAAAAAAATCTAAATATCAAAAAATTTGAAAAACATCAAAATTAAAAAAACGATTTTTTACAAAAATTTGAGAATATTTTGAAATTTTCAACAAAAAATCGTACATTTTCATAAATTTCCAAATTTTCAAAAAATTAAAAAAAATCGTTTTTTTTTTAATTTCAAAATTATCAAAAAAATCAAAATTAAAAAAAAGAAATTTCATGTAAGCCTACACATAAGTTGTTTGTAGAATACGCTCGTCGCCCAATATGCACATATAAATTTACAGTATATATTTGAAATTGTTTAAAAAGAATTATTGATTATTTCCATTTCTCGATTTTTTAATTACGGTACGAAAAGTTCCAGCAATTTGCCTTAAGGCACAATATCATGCGCCCCACTAGTTTTTATAGTTAAATTGATTGCCACTAAATGAAGGCTAAGATGCTAGCCGAAACGTATAGATTTTAAATAAATTTCTAAAAACTAGACATACTATTTTTATTGACGTAACGCCCAACTTTTTAACTCAAATTAAACTTAAATATATATATATATATATATATATATCTTAATATATATAAATTTAGTGTCACAGGCGTTGTTCTCGATGGACGCCTAAAATACTGAACCGATTTAAAATTGGTTTTGCTCACCGTGTACATATGGATCCCATTTAGGACATAGGATATAATAAAAATTTCAATTAATAGCCGAAATTTTATATTATTTAATTAAAAAACATTTTGACATTTCGCCATAGTTGCAGTTCTGTCGAGAGTCTACCACTCTAGACAAAAACCATAGAGCCACGAATTCGATGCAGGAGTAATGCGTTTCTATGAGCTACGGTGACGGTTGGAAACATGTTATGTATTTTTATGTTGCCAATTGTGATTTGATGTTCATAATAAGCATACGGCGAAATATATTTGTGAGGTTAGGTTATTATATGTCAAATGCTTATTGAAAGCGGAGTTTTAGCAGAGAATATCACCATTTACGGTATGTATATTAATATATTGAACACCGTTATATTATTACACGATACAAATCAAGCATTATAACCAAATTTATCATTTTCCTAACAGCAACTAACTCTAATAATAACTAAATCTAATGAAGCACAGTGGTGAAATTCAAATATTCAAATGACTACTATGGATGATTAACGTGCAGTTGGTTCTGAATATTATTAATTAAGTTAATTGTATTGATGGTGCACTATTGAGTCTATTGAAAAATAACCATGTAAGTATTAAAACATAGAAGTGTTTCATAGTGAATTCATCAAGCAGGAAACTACAATGAATAAAATGTGCTAATATTACAGCCTGCAACACATTGTGTTAATATTACAGCCCAATTTTGACGAAGGCAACAAACATGCTCCAATATTTTCAGGCAATGAACTTTAGAAATAAAAAAGGAGCCATGTGCTGCAAGAAAGTTTTAAATAAGAAGCGATTCTTTTAGAATGAATTTCTTCGATACCATCAGATTGCACGATACCATTTAAGAGGTAACAATTTCTGATACAATTAGCATTTGCGATGACCATCACCAAGGCTCAGGGACAAACAATGCCCGTTTTTGGACTTGAATTAGAAAATCAATGTTTTTTGCACAGGTAATTATATGTTGACCAAAGAGGATTTGGTCAAAAATATTGTGCATCAATTAGTTTTAAGCTATATTTATAAAAGCATTCATTATTGAGTAATAATAATGGAATGGGAATATGTGATACAGCTATATGGAACAAGTAAATAATTGAAATTAGAATAATGTATGCATAGATAAGTAAGCATAATGTATGTAATATAATAAATTAATTATATCGTATATATTTTTTATATATCGTAATATTTAAGTTTAGAAAAATATTATGCAGTCAATTGTATGTTTGCATAATGGTATTTATGAGATATATGTATGTTGAAAGTTATATAGGTGGTGTTTTAAATTAATAGTAAATTTGCTTAGAATATTATATTATAATTCTTTGTAATTAAAACGAGAATTATTTAGAAGTGTATTTTGAATAATATTTAAATATATAATATATATATATATATATATATATATATATATATATATATATATATATATATATATATATATTGAATATATATATATGTTAGATGCTTAACTTTAACATTCACTCAGTATTTATCACTTAGATCAAATACCTCAACTCTGGCTAACTGAAATTAAATCACACATTAATATAATATATACCTATAATGATAACAACCAATAATCTTAGTCAGGATATTTATTACCATTTAGATGTTTACGCCTCCGAGTCCAGTTAAGTAAGTCCGAATATTTATTTATTTATTAACATGACAATCAAAACAATATGGCGACTACATGAAGTATGTACAAGTTACAGCATAGACTTAATGTTGGTATCTATGCTGGCGCGAATATCCGAAGTTGCTAACATTCGGCCATCCTATAATTACTCGTCCTCGAGTAAATAATCTTGCAATCTGGCTGGCTTATGGCTGTCACATTGGGGACGGCTCCTGGGTTTCTTCGGTCCTGGTGTTCCTCTTCTTTTCTCGGTCCAGTGTCCTCTTCTTCCGATCCACTGCCCTTTTCTCCTAGTCCAGAGTCCTCTTCTCCCAATCTGGTGTGATCTTCTCCCAGTCCAGAGTCTTCTTCGCCCGTCTTCTGCTGCTTCAGGGTGTTCCTCCAGTCCGCTGGTATCTGTCTGTTGGGGTCCTCTTCCATCTGGTTTGTCTCTCTAGGTTGTAATTTTTCTCAATCGTTGCCTTTTTGCATGGCAATTTCTCTAAGTTTCAATGAGATTGTTCCCGCTTCGCTCTCATCTGCATGATTTGGGTTCTTTCATGCCTCAGCGCAATCCTTTCCTGGTTCATTGTCGTCCTGTCCCGTTCCAGTGTCATACTCCTGCGGTCCAGTGCCTTCCTCTCCTGGTCCAGTGTTGCCTTCTCTAGGTCCAGCTTTGCCCTCTCTAGGTCCATTGCCTTCCTTTCCTGGTCCAGTTTTGCCCTCTCTAGGTCCAGTGCTTCTCTCTCCTGGTCCAGCGCTGCTTTCTCTAGGTCCAGTGTTGTCCTCTCTAGGTCCAGTGCTGCATGGTCCTGGTACAACTCCGTGTTATCATTTGACCTAAAATTATTAAAACAAGGAATTAGTCTATTTGTTCCTTCGGTTGAATTTGTCAAAGTTTCGGGTTTCTGTTCCACATCTTCTATGTCCACAATTGGTTTGACTTCATTCTGCTTGAACATTAATATACCATCCTCTGTGGTATAATATATATGTGGCAACTCTGTAAATGTGCGCCCGATTATCATGTCAATGTCCTGTGCATCATCTGGCACCACTCTGACATAAACATTATTAGCCTTTATTCTATCTACCTCCATCGTAACGATAATGGCTGCAGGTGACTCCAATTTAAAATTCTTTGGTCCCCAGCTCTTTATCACCATCGGTTTGTGTAACTTCCGATATTCTCCTTCATTCAGCAATGAAGCCTTGATCGTACATATGGAACTTCCTGCGTCCACCATAGCCCTAAATTCTTTGCCATCTATGGTGACACGTTTCATATATTTTTCTCCTGTCTGATCCTCTTTATCAGTAATCCATTTTACTTCACCACTAGGTTTTTTAGTGTCAGGTTCAGTTTTATTCTTATTCCGTTCTGGGCAATCCTGAATAAAGTGTCCTACTTCCCTGCATTGGTAGCACTTCACTATTCTTTTTCCAGATTGTTGAATATCTTCTCCAACCTCACTCTTTACTTTCGTGGTATTCCATGACTGACTGCTCCCACCTGACTCGAACTTTAAATCATTTAAGGCACTTTCATGCGTTAAAATACTTGTACCCAGTTCATCATAATCGGAGTGCTTCTCAGCAGCTAAAATGACATACAGCTGTTTGTCT